CATAACGTGACATTTCAATTTTGTGACCTCTATCCAAAACAAGAGTGGATTTTGTTCATTAGCTTCCCTTGTTTTATTGAAACTCGGATTTTGGAAAGAGAAAAGAGAAGTTAGTCATAATTAGTGGAGATTCAGAGCTGGTGGCTTTGTATGTTGTTAAAGTACTGATGGCAAGGAGTGACAAACAACAAGTCCTATCTTGGCTCCAGGATCTCTGAGACTATCTGCCTCAGTCTTGGAAGAATTGGGATAGAAAATGTCTCAGGTAGACTTATCTAAGCCTTATTGAACACACTCATTTACACAGATACACGGATGGAGAATGGAGAGAGAGAAGCGGAGAAGAAAACGTACATATGTTTGAAGAAAGAACACATACACAGAGAGCAAACATACACTCACAGAGAGGGAAAAAGAGAATACACACATGAGAAATACGAAGGCAGATACAGACAATGACAGACTATTTTAATATCACTCTGTGGGACTAAATCTATAAACTGTAGATCAGGATAGTGGGAAAGATGAACCATACTTACCTAACAATGGCCGGGCACTACCACCTACCTTACTTTGAGTCCTTTCTGTATTTATAATGGCTACCAATAATAAGATAATTTTCCCAACATTACAGATCTAGTGAATGGTAGAACAGTACCTGCATCCTGGTACCTGAGACAGAACAATGACAGGGAGGCCACATCTCAAAATATCCCAGGTTTCCTTTTTCTTACCTTAGACAAGCTCACTTTTATTGATCAGATTACATAAGCTTGTAGCAGAGTTTACATGTTCCAAAGAAATGCATCCCTAAGAAACCTTACTCACCAAGGAGAAAATAAAATGTATTGTGATTCAGAAAAAAAAAAAAGTCCAGGTTAAACAGAATTGAAGAGCTAAGTCACCTCATTCCTAACACATATAGCAGATCATACATAGGGTGAATGATGAAACGATTTCACTGTAGTATAAACTCTCGTCTCACCTCACGTATAAGGAAATGGGCACAAGTGTGTTGAGGATGATAACATATGACCAGAAAGTTAAGAAGCCTGAGAACAAGGAACTCTTCTCGCCTTCGCCCCAGAAGAGGAAAGTTCTGAACTGGCCTCCAAATTCACTTTCCCAGATTGAATTTCCTACTGCAAGAATAATTCCCAGGCATACCAGAAATCCAAAAATCTGAAACAAGAATTATAGAAGTCTTAAGATTAAGATTAAGTCTTAAGTGTTAAGATTAACATGCACCCTAAAATAGTCAAATCAACACAATCTAACTACAAGTTAATTTTCCATAAGAAATTGTCATTTGAAAACAAAGTTACATAAACCTTTCCTTACTTACAATTAAGCATGTGAATAAAATTCATATGGCTAAATATCTGACTACATTTTCTTACTTAATTCTCCCACCAACTCTCTCTGAGGCAGATACAATTATCCATAGATTAAAAACAAAAAAATTAAGCTATGCTGTAGATTGACCCCTGTCACATCCTTACTCAGTGACAAATCACTTGCTTCAATGTTTGAAACCCAGAAGATGGTGTGCCCTCAGTGCCCTAGAAGGCCCCAGTTTACATCTGTTTTGTTCATCTGTAATTACTGTAATGTAGCCAACCAATGTTCACTTCCTTCTCCTCCTATTCAGAGTCAAACTATTACATTATATATCAATTAGGCAAGTATATTTGAGCTTAGATTCTTTAAGACTCCTGGAAAGTCTGTGATGAGGTACATGCTTCAATGTTGTTGTCCTCACATTTCAAAATTAAAGTAGCTTAAATGTCTTATAAATAGACAAATCCATAGGACACAACTCAGAAAATAATCAGATCAACAATGTGAGATAAAAACCAACTTAGCTGGTAAAGGAATAGAATGTAAGAAGTGCATGTTTGGAGTAAAACTGAGAAAAGAAAAGCCAAGCCTCACTGGGGAAAGATAATTATGAACTAATGAGATCTAGGTGCTTCCATGAGGAAGGACAGCTATGACTTCGAAAGCAAAGGCTTCCTGAGAAAAGTCAGCTCCAAAGTTGGCAGGGTTCAACGAAAAACAAAAACACAAGTCTCCTTGTTTAAAAATTATCAGAATTTCTAAACAGCAACAGTAAATCAGTAAGCCATACACCTGGCTTTTATGAAAATAGAGCTCTTTGTAGGTGCACAGATCACACACCAGTGAAGCCACAGCTATGTAAAGAGGATTTGAGCAAAGATAAGATTTTACTTATCTCAAAAATGATTTAGTTTTATACCTCAGTAATGCTAAAAATGCAAGAAGACCAAAAGTAGCCATATACCAAGGGGGAGTGTTCATGTCAGGAATGGTAAGGGGAGCAATGTCCCTGCGTGTCTCCATTTTCTATCAACTAAATAAATTTAATAGACAACATTTAAAGGGAAAAATGATTTAGTTTTCCAAACACAAATCCTTGAAGACAAAAGCCTTAAATCCTACTACTTGCTGATAATTTATTTTAATCTACAAAATAGAGTGAGTAAACTGAGCCCTAAATATAAAATAGCCAAATATAAGTTTCAGTAAAGCAAATTAAATATATTAAGATAGCAATGACTAGTGGCATTGCTTAATTCAATCACAGTGACACATCCACAGTACCAGAGCACCCATAAACTTGCCAGTGACTCTCCCAGAGTACTAGACTACTACTCAACCTGACATTAACTCACCCAGACTACTAGAATACTTGCCAGCCTCCTAATGGCTCATCCACAGCACAAGAGTACTCATCAACCTGTCAGAGACTTACCCATATGACTAGGGTATTCATCAGTCTGTCAATGCTCGTCCTTTTAAACTTTGTCTTACCACTGTTCTGCATTAGTTTAGTGTCAGGACCTGTAAAAAAAAGAGAGAGAGAGAGAGAGAAAGAAACAACTTTGAAACAAAATCAATCTAATGGCAGGAATCAATACATACCTTTCAATAATAACTCTGAATGTTATAAATTCTCCCAATCAAAAGGCACAGACTAATAGACTGGCTCAAAAAGTAGGAATCATCTGTTTTCTGCCTTTCAGAAACAAACCTACCACAAAAGACAGAAACTACTTTAGGGTTAAAGTCAAGGATGGGAAATATATTCCAGTCAAAAGGAACCTATAAAACAAGGTTTTCTAATGTCTGGCAAAATAAACTTCAAATCCAAACTAGTGAGAAAAGATAAAGTCATTTTATATTGATTAAGGGGAAAACCCAAAAAGAGAATATTATCATTTTAGACATACATGTTCTGAACACAAAACATACAATTACATTAAACAAAAACCCCTACATGTAGAGTTACGGATTAAACTCAGCCCAATAGTAATAGGTGAGCTTAATTTCCTGCTCTTAACAACTGACAGACCATCCTGACAAAATATAAACAGGGCTGGAGAGATGGCTCAGCTGTTAAAGGCTAGGCTCACAACAAAAAATAAATAGAGGAATGATGAATTAGATGGCATCATAGATCAAATGAACTTAACAAATGTCTACAGACTATTCCATCTCAACAGTGCAGAATCCATGCTTTCTCAGCAACCCATAGACTAGTCTCTAAAATAATCATCAATTAGGACTCAAAGCAAATCTTCACAAATACAGGAAAATTGAAATGATTCCTTGAACACAGAATATAACAATAACAAAAAAGAATCATCATTGATAACAAGGCTCATCCCCACCTTTAAATCGGTTCAGTAAAGCTAGATTCAACTTTCTAAGAAGCTTCTGACATTCCACCATGTCCATTTCCACAGTCCCTATATTGCTCTAAAATACCATCATCTCCTAACTGCAAAAGCCTTATTACCAGGCTCCACAGCTTCAAAGTGGCTTTTCTAACCACACAGAAGTAGTTTTATTGACTTTCGGTCTGGTTAATTTTGGCATGTGATTTTTTTATTTACAAATTCTTTTTTAAAAAAGTTTTAATTTTAAAAATGCCTAATACCTTTGCCTCCCTGAATCTGCTCTGTCCTGAGTACTAATCAATATGTCCCTGCATCTCACACCTCAATTGTGGACTCATTTAAGGACCTACTGTCCATTTACAAAAGTTATATATACTATAAGCCAAAGTCCATTCTTCCCATAGATTTATTTAAAATGTTCAATATATATTCTGCCTCTTAAACATTCTTGATGGTTTCCCCCAAGCTCCTGGGATAAAGACCAAACTTTTACACACAAACCACAATGTCTGCAGAGTCCAGCTTCTCCATCCCCATGAGTCACACCTCCTGTGCTGTCTGCTCCCCATCAGAACTCTGAAGGTTCTGGGCCTCACTTATCCAGCCTTGGCCCATGGCTTGCCATCCTTAGACTCTCTACTTCCTTCGACTTCCCTACATCTCCATTTTTGTTTGTATTAGTCTATAAATCTCAGCTCAGAAAAGCCTTCCCAAAGTCAAGGTCTAGTCACCTTCTTCCCTTCTAATTCTATTGTGAACACATGGTCTTTTAAGCAGCACTCACCTCTCTTTGAGGTTATATAATCACCGTCATATTATCTGGGAGTAGCACATTAACAGTATCAAATAATTTCTATCTTACAAGACTTACAACTACATGAGTAAAAGGAAGACATTTGGCTTCTCCTTACATTTAATCCCTAATCAATCAATCCTCAACCTGGGCAATGAAGAGCACCTAGCCTGTACTTGGCATTCAGTAAATAATTAAACTTACAATAAATTTAATATTGTTAAATTTGGGCAATGTGCACGTGTACTTTTATTTTGAGAATTTCCTGTAAGCATATTGTGTATTTACATCATTTCCATTTCTCCTCTCTGCCCCAACTCCTATGTCCCTTGCCACTTTCTCTCAAATTCATTGTGTCTTCTTCCTTAATTATCATTTATATATATACATATATGTATATATATATAAAATTTGTTGAGTCCATTAGTATCAATCATATGTATATGTGTTTAAGGCAGACCAGTTGAAATTGAATAACCTGTCAGGGGGCTCATCCCTGGAGAAGGATTACTCATAAGCCAATGCTTACAAAGCAATAAATAAACTCTTACAAGGCAAGAATTTAACTTTCCTGAGACTTCTCATTCTGTAAGCCTAGAGGCAGAACTTGAATCTTGGCATATCTAACTTTAAAGCTCTTTTTTCTAAGTTACTTGTAAACTATGTGAGACATTAAGACAATGTATATTTCATACTCTAGCTCATTCAGAATCCTAACAGGAATCACTGAATAAGGATAATTATAGAGGTCAAGGGTCTATTCTGGCTGCCCAGCCTTCCCCTGCCACTTCCCCCTGCCCCATGCATGTGGCGAGCAGAGTGTCAGGGCAGACAGACTGCCAGACCTTGACAGTGACCCAAAGTCTCCAAAGAACATTATGAGGCACCTTAGTTTCTGCACCTGGATTATGACGACTCTGACCAGTGAGTGAGATGCTCAAATGCAACACCCGCTACCAAGACCTGGCCCAGACTGTGGACAAAACTGCTGGACACTGGAAAATTGATTGCACCCCCTTTGCCTAGACAAAATAAGGTCAGTATTTCCCTTGTCCCTTTTCCACGGAGAGAAAGAAAACTTTCACCTTATAGGCCTGGCAAAGATTGATGCTGTTCTTTGGTACTTCTGCCTCCAACGCTACTAGAGACTAACTGTATATGGACTGGTACCTGTGCCTTTTTAATAGATTCAGAAACTATATAAAATTGATCCTTCTCAGATTTATGAAAGCATTGATGCTGTCAGCTTGACAGCATCAGGCAGCCAAATCCACAAAACTATAGTCAGCTTGGTAGCTCATTTTAGATACATAAATATCAAGTCTTAATATGGCTCCTCAATAAGGATCTTAGGGTGTAAGAGCATAAAAGTTTTAAAGATATAAAAGTTCAGATCTGTCACAAAACATATTTCAAGAACAGGTATTTTAGGGTTTATCTATGTGATGGCAATGTAAGGTGAATGAATTAAAGTTATGAAGGTCTCAGGATAAAAAGGCTTAAGTGATAACAAATAGAGTGAGTTGAGACATTCAAAAAATAAAACATGTTCCAGGTTTGTCTCTTTCTTATTATGCTAATGTTCATAGTCTTAACATTAATCAATAAAGTTCTGACAAGCTGATAGAGCAGTGACTATTCAGTCACAAGCTCAAGGTTTTTAGGTTTATTTTGGTTGTCATCTAAGTATAAACTAAAAGGGTTTTTTTTTATCAGGCCAAAGGCACCTCTGTCCAATCCATACCTGGCTCTCTAGACAGAAGAAAAATGTACACAGTTCTAGCCCAAATCTGTAGTTTTTACTAGGACTCAAAGGTATGAATCTTCCTGCTATTTGATAGATACCCAAATACCTGCTTTTTCTGCAATGTGGATTTCCATACAGATTGATAATGCTAATATGTCTAAAACTGTTCTGTCCTTTTGTATAATAAAGTTCACATAGGCTTCAGACAATCAAAAGTCATAAAGCTTGGATCTACTTCTCACAGGTCAAAATGACTCCAGATGAGTACAGCCTATGTTATCCCACCTGCCTGTTCCTAAGGATGGGATTTTCTCCCCTGGTCTTGGAACTCCCACCCTTCCTGATCACTAAAGCTATATGCCTAAGAGTTCCAATTAAATACATAAGTTTTAACTTCTGTGATGGGGAATGTACTACTGTGTATGTTTATCTTATTGATTATTGACTAAAATATTGTTTAGCCAATGAGACAGCAAGTTAGACGGAAGTAGGAGTCAAAGAGGATTCTGGGAAATGTAGTGGAGAAGTGCTGATCCAGGCAGGAAGTGACATAGCAAGGCGACTCATATTTAAGCGTAAGAGAAACAGGAAGGGCCCTCTTTTCCCCTCGGCTCCCGCTTCAGCGGCACGATGTGATCCACCAGCTAGGAGGGACGCCAATAAGGCGTCGGATAAGATAAGTCCTATAAAATATATAGATGTATTATAATTGAGACTGAGCTAACAGATGAGAATCCTAGTCATTGGCCAAGCAGCATTGTAACTAATACAAGTCTCTCTGTGTATTCATTTGGGCCTAACTCGGGCAGGCGGCTGTCCTAAAGCTCACACGTGGCGGTGGGGCTCAGGCGGCTTTTGGTGGAAAGATTTATCGTAACACTTCTGTTCCCAGTTTAAACATGTCTTAAACAGGTTTCCACCTCTGGCAGATGCATCTGAGCATCAGTTGCTGACAACAGCCTGCTCCTAAATATGACAAGCCCTGGACTTGCTGTGGATGTGAACCAGTCCAGCCGATGTAGGCACCCCCTGTAACTTCAACAGCGTCTGCCAACCAGCTGCTTCTGATTCACTTTTTGCTTTTGACTAGCATTTCAGACTTCTTGAGTCCCTAACTGCATCCCAAAGTCAGCAGGAAGTAACACAGGAAAGAATACATTGCCCCTTTTCCCTGGTTGAGATGCTAAGTCAAAAGGAAACTCCCTTACATAGGGGACAACATGATAACAGATGCAAATGTCACTCCCTCAGAAAAATCAGTCAGCTAATGGCAGGACCTGTTACCACCCCTTTGAATCCCTAACAGGCAGGACTCAGGATTGAGTCCTGACATCAGTACTCCAAGAAGGGGGGAATGAAGGGACCAGCCCCCTGTTTTAACAGCCTTGACAGGTTAACATGTGCTTGCCTAACCTTGCCCCTCCTGTCCTACTCACTAGGGGGTCAGATACCCTCATGGCAAGGAATCAATCAGAAGTTAACTGGTGGGGGCTGTGCTTTAAGGCTCTAGGTGAGCTTTACATATAAGTGTACAACAGTGACATGCTGAGCATATAGCAACCATCCTGGGAGGGCCTATAGGCCATAACAACCAGTTGACCAATCAACACAGGACAGGTCTTCCAAGCCCAGAAGCACACCAATCCTGAAACTGTTGCTACCCATAGACACTCCCCATATGCTACCTGATATATTCCCTGCCTCATAGTTCCCCTGGGTCTTTCTACAGCCAGACCGGTGTATTGCATCGGTGAATTGATGAAAGGCCTGAGCTAATAGGGTTAGCTCATTAAACAATAACAATAAAAGATTCTTTGTTTTGCATCAAAAAAGGATAATTACAGAAAAGTTTATGTAGAAATTCTATAAAGTGTGGATGGGGCATATTGGAAGCAAAAGATTAAGACAACAAGGGGTCTTAGTAGCAATCCAACTGTTTCTCCACCTAAGGTGGAGAAGGCATATTACTGGATCTTAAATATGGGGGCTCTAGGTTTACAGCCTTTACAACAAGGTTGACTTTATGTTGAAGGACCCAACCAGTCTGAAATAACTACATAGGAATGTAGAGTTGGTAAATAAATACCTAGAATTTAATCATTTTTCTCCTTTTTGTTTCTTTCCGAGCTCACCTAGACAAAAGCCAAAAATTAAGAAAAGTTGTGAATATGAACCGCATATACCAGCCGGCAAGGCAAAGAGAAGGTTGGAAGTTGATGAGCTAAGACCTCTAAGGGCAAATGAGTGGCATCCAGCACACAAACCAAGATGGCACTGAGCACTACAGACTCATTGAGTGAGTATGGTCCCTTCTCTCAGGAACAAGCTTTGTTCCACTCTTGAACACAAAGGAAAGCCAGTAGCAGGGGAGCATGATGAGGTGTCCATGTATGTTAACCTCATGAGTGACAGATTTCTCAAATAAACCAAGCCTCTGAACTCCATTTCGCACATCCTAAACAGGATATATAAGTGGCATTTAAATATAAAAAGACGAGCTAATAGTTCATTTTGGATTCAGTTTTCACAAGATCTAAGAACTGTCTAGAACTTGATTCCTAATCAAATGTCTCAAGGCTTAGATCCCTGTCTCAGGATACCCATCTATTCAACCTGACATGGACAAAAACAACCCTGAACTCATCTGCTTGCCAGTATTCTAGTTAAGCTTTCTCTTAACTAAAGTCAACATAAACACTGTCCACTTTACAAATGTCTTCCTGACAAATACCCTCTAAAAGTGAACATCTGAGACACAACGCAGAAGAACAGAGAGCTCCTTTTCTCCTCCACCAAAATACAAAGAATGTTCTGTTTTCCCAGCTCAGCCCATAGGGATGTCAGTGTGCTCTGAATTGTTGATAAAAGAAATGAGAAGTAGGTGGGCTGGGCAGTGGTGGTGCATGCCTTTAATCCCAGCACTCAGGAGGCAGAGGAAGGTGCGAGTGCAAGACCAGCCTGGTCTACAAGAGCTAGTTCCAGGACAGCCTCCAAAAAGCCGCAGAGAAACAAACCCTGTCTCAAAAAAACAAAAAAAAAAAAATGGAAAAATTATCAACAAGTATCCTCTTCCATACACATCATCTACACATCATCCATTGGACCTGAGAGATGTACTCTAGCTTGCTCATTATTACCCTGTGCTCCACAGGGGGAAGACCTAGAAGTCTCAGAGCAAGGATTCTCTGCCTGATCTGCCTCATCCCTAGTCTGTGGACCTCTATTCAACTGACCTCCTTCCAGTCACATAAAAGGGCTTTCCCGCAGAAACATTTTTATGAAAACCTTGACCCCCCAAGGGCTCTCAGGTGTGGCTCTCAATAGCTGTCTCATCACACATAATGTGACTCAGTTGAGCTAGAACCTCGAACTAGTCATTCTGAACAAGATTGTACAAATGTAATGAATTTTTGAATGACAGCGCATCTCTGGGATGAGGCATCTCCACTTCAGTGATTACAGGGATCAAAACAAGAGACCATTTATAGGAGACCTTCAGATGGGGAGACCATTTTGAACTCTCCATACTTGTAGCTTAAAGTAAAAGAAATATATGGGTAAGCTTGGCTTTTTCTCTGCAAGAAAGATGGAAACATGACATAAATAACCTTAGACCTTCCTCACTAATAAAAAAAAAAAAAATCTGATGAAAGAAACATGAAACTAGGTTCAGCCACAGGCAAAAGCCTAATTCTGTTTCATTTAGAGGTTTCTGGGTATCTAAATATGGCAATGCCCTGAGAATAAAATAATGCTCACACCCACAGCTGAAGGATTTTCCTGGCTTTGGAACACATTGAGCCTTTAATGAGCATTTGTTGTTGTTAAGGAAAGTCAACTAAGAAAAATAATCCAATTTCAATTACACATATAATCAGCAGACACAAAATACATCTTAATTTGGTGTCACAATAAACAGGATTTTTAAAATCAAGGGCTAGAAAATGAAGCCATGAGTACAATCTGGGTAGCTTGTCAACTTGTGCTATTGTTCCCAAGAAGGAGAATGCTAACTCAGACTCACAGAGATTAAAAAAAAAAAAGCAAAACTGTTGGGTAGGCAAAAGACCCCCCATCCTACCACAGGGATGCTTGCTCAACTGTGTTCATAGAGGCTTTATTCACAATAGCCAAAAACTGGAAATAGCCTAGATGTCCCTCAACTGAAGAATGGATAAAGAAAATGTGGTACATTTACACAATGGAGTATTACTCAGCTATTTAAAAAAAAAGACATCATGAAATTTGCTGACAAATGAATGTAACTAGAAAAAAAATCACCCTGAATGAGGCAAACCAAACCCAGAAAGACAACCATGATATGTACTCACTTATAAGTGGATATTAGCAGTAAAATAAAGGACAACTGTGCTACAATCCATAACCCAGTGAGGCTAAGTAAGAAAGAGAGCTCCACTAGGACACATGGGTCTCCTGGGAAGTGGAAATAGATTTTGTGGAGGAAATGGGGGCAGTTGGGGATGGAAAAAGGAGAGGTACAATCAGGAGGAGGGATGGAAGGAGAGGGTATGGGGAAAGACTCCTGGAATAAGTGGGTACATAAGGGATGATATGGAAACTTAGTGCAGTGGAAACTCCTGGAATTCATGGGGGTGACCTAGTGAGGACTCTGAATCATGGAGGACCATGGAGCCTGAGTCAGCCATCTTTTGTAACCAGGCTAGGGTGGGACTGAGACATCAACCCAGCCTCAAGACCCACAACCCACAGCCTGTCTTTCCTGCCAAATGTGCTAGGTCAATGGTGGCTCAGAGCTTGTGGGACTGGCCAACCAGTGACTGATCTAACTTGAGGCCCATGCTACAAAAGGAAGCCCATGCTGGACATTGCCTGTATGGCCTGGAACCAGAAGCTGGATGGTCCAGAGATCTAGGGTAGAACCAAATACGACTTGGGGGGAGGGGAGGAATCAATGAAATGATTCCTAATGATGTTCTGCTATACTCAAAGGTCGGTGCCTAGCCCAGTCACCATCGGAGAGGCTTCCTCTGGCAGCTGACAGGAGCAGATGCAGAGATCCACAGATAAACTTTAGGCTGGGATTAGGGAACCCCACAGAGGAGGGGAGGAAGGATTGTAGGAGCAAGAGGGGTCAAGGCCACCGGAAGAACACAACCCACAGAATCAACTAAGCAAGGCTGGGGCAGGAAGCTCACAGAGCTGTGAAGCAGAAATTGCAGATCCTCCACATACATGCTATGGTTGTTTAGCTTGGGGTTTTGCTGGACTCCTAACAATGGGTGTTGGGGGTGTCTTTAACTCTTTTGCCTGCTCTTGGGAACTTTTTCCTCCCACTGGGTTCCCTGGCAGAGCCTTGATAAAAGTGTCTGTGCTTAGTTTCACTGCATCTTGTAATACCATGTTCTGTTGATACCCCTGCGAGGCCTGCTCTTTCCTGAAGGGAAATGGAGGAGCAGTGGATCTGGGGGAGGGGCTGGTCGGAGTAGAAGAAGGAAACAGGTGTCTGATATATTGAATGTGAGGAACAAACAAAAAGAAAGATGAAAAAAGGCACCATTTTCCATCCATCCTTCCATCTCCCCATCCCTCCATCCACCTATCTGTCTATCCTTCCTAGTCCCATCAAGCACAGCCTTCAGACCCATCTGCCCTGGTGACAAATAGAATGGTTACTCTCCAATAAGGCTTTCTCAAAAGAGCCTCCTGACCTTTCCTAATGACAAACAGTGTGAGCTGCAGTATGAGGGAGGGTCCTCTTTCATATCCATCTTTGGTTTTAAGGGCAGGTTTTACATAGACTAACAGATGCATGTGATGGGGCTAAAGAGAAAAAATCTGAGCAGTGATGTGTAAACAGCACCAGATATTGAAGGATTCAGCATCCTTAAGAATGAATTCAAGCTCTCAGTGGTTACCACACACTGGGGCCATGTGGATTATACTCAGAGCACTGCTGTCTCCTCTAGGGGTACCACACTCTGGGGTGAACTCAGGAAACTGCACTTGGAATTCAATAAAAAACTGTGCATGTCCACATCCATAAAGAACTGTGAACTACAGTGAAGGGACTGTAGGAAGGGATAGGGCAGAGATGGCCATGGCTTATACACTGTACCTGCAAAAAGAACCATTCCAAAGCACCAGCGAGTGTTCCTCAGGACACAGCCTCTCAGGATTATCTTCTGATTGCTGAGAGTGTGCTTGCTGTCCTTCCAAGAGAGGACTCCAGAGAACTTTTCTAATTTGTTGTTAGGTGCCTCACAGATGACAATCCCTGGAAAAGAAGCAAGCCTCTTTAGACTCATTGCAAACTCACTTCAGAAGCCCACAGCACTACTTCAGCATCCGACTGCTGGTGTGCAATGCATTGCCCTTCTTTTAGAATGTGCGCGGTTACACATGCGGGATTTGTGCTGGGAAATAGTAAACTGCAACACGAAGAAATGGAAATCCATCAAATATTTCTAAGCAGGATTGTCCATTCCAACCAATAAGAACAGAGCCCACAAGAGCCCACAATATTTTTCCCTTAAAAATATTTCAAATTACCTATTTTTGCTCTTAGGCTATATTAAAATGACTTTTTACAAGTATAAAATGATGAATGTCCATATTTTTTTTCATTTTACTTACTGTAAACTGCCGAATGAGTTTAGATGTCACAGTTTTGGTTCCACAGCAAAAGTTATCAGTTTTCTATAGTCACAGGAAGGACTTGGGATCCTAGTATACCACACCCCAAAGAAACCTGAGCCTTGTTTGCCCCATGTGTTGAGATTCCTTTCAGGTACCCTATGTATGCCTCTTATCTTGATTTGATTCGGACTTCTGTGGACTCTTTTTATTTTTTTAACCATGTGACTGTATTTTTTTAAAACTTTCCAGAAACCTTTATTTAAAACATGGAACAAATAACAGGATGACACAAATATTAAGTGAATCAGATAAAAAATATATGTTATAATAAAGGCTTATGATAAAGCAATACATGGTAGTAATAACTTTTACTGAAAGAATTTTAAAGTAGGCTGATAATCTCTAGTGCTTGGAAAATATTACTAGTAGGAAATATCAATAAGATATTAATTATAGTGTATTTCCTATTACTAATATTTTCATATTTCATCATTTCATCATCATGACAAAGACTCATTCTGAAAATTTTCAATTATTTGAAATAATTTACACCTATTCTATGGATAAAGTGAGATGATGAATTAAAGGTGTCAATTATTAGGATTTCCTAGAAATTCATCCATGGCCTTATTTTTTTCTCCATTTTTTATTAAATTAGAAACAAGCTTGTTTTACATGTCAATCCCAGTTCCCTCTCCCTCCCCTCCTCCCCTGCCCTTCACTAACACCAGAGTTCTGTGGACTCTTAAAGGCAGCACATAACTTGCTCCAACTAGCCAGAAAAAGTTTCTAGTCTTTGGTGTTTGGGTTTGTTTTTACTTCCAAGTAAGGGCATGCTCATATGAAATTGATTCATTCCATTATTTCAAACAGAGCATACACAGTCAGGGTAGGTTTCTAGATGGAAAAAAATAGAAATTATTTTTATGGACACTTCACAGGATGTAACTATTGAACTCATATACATTTGCACCACAGACAAATAGCTGCATTTTTAGAAGTAATGAGTACAAAAACATGAGAAAACAGTGCTGGGGAAAGTAAAGAAAGGAAGAGAGACGAGAAGATAAAAGGGGAGGGTGGGTGCGAGCAGCTGAGCCCAGGTTAGAATCAGAAGTAAGAGCAGCTAGCATCCTGAAAGTTTACTGTCTTAGAAGCAGCAAAAGCGCATTTTAAAAACAGAAGTGAAAATGGCAATTTGGAAAAATAAAAGGGGGAGGAGTCAACCTTCAGCATTGGGTAAGGGGACCAGCTAAATCAATTCTATACAGTGCTATCTTGGTCAGCTTTTTATTGCTGTACTGAATGCCTGAGACCAAATAAATAAAATGTGGTTTGGTTCATAGCTTTGGAGATTTCTGTTCAAAATCAATTAGTCCAAATATTTTGAGTCTCTGGTCGCACATTATAGTAGGAGTTGTGAAAATCGATTCGCTTCTCCTACAGTCCTCTTCAAGGGCACACCACTAATGACTTGATCCCCCTAGGTCATGAGTCTTAAAGCTCTACCGCCACATAGTAACACGGAGGTGGACATGAAGATCTAACATTTAAGATCTAAAGCATAGTAGATGGGGGCCCATCCTCTCTCTAAGTCACCTTCTGATGCTGAAGAGATTTCTTGCAAGGGTTTCTTCCCTTCCTAGAATACTGGTTTCCTTTTCAAACTGTAGCCTCAGCTGCAACTGTGAATCAAGCAGCCTGATGACTCCTGACCAGTCAGGCTGGTCATATTTCAAAGTCAAAAATGGCACCTTCTTTACCCACTCCTTACCATTTCCTAATTAGAAAAGGCAAGGCCTCCATTTGGTCACTCTGTGGGCCTTCCCAGGCAGCCAGTGCTAAAGGAGAGCTGCTAGCCTAGGCTTCACTGAGGCAAACAACCCGTAAGGTTGTTTCTTAGACCAAGTAACTAAATTGCAATTAGTTTTCATTCTATCTTATTTGTTTATTTAAAAGTAAATTAAAATAAGTTCCAACTGGCTCAAGTTCTTTAGAAAAACTGCATTGTGGTCCCAGAGCTTTTTCTAAATTCTCAGATTTTGTGATCATCTTTTCCTTGACCAATAATTTTCATTTCTGAGTTTCACATAACCTTGAATTGAGTGGATCTCACCAGCAAAACCTGCACAAATAACAGGCTGGCAGAAGCCCTTAAAATTTATTCCAGTTTCCTCACCTAATACTCAATTTCCCAAACTTCATATTTGGCCAGTGTTCAAAAACAATGTGATTTGGGCAAAAACAACATGGCACATGGTTCCTTGCCAATAACAATATAAAAAGCGGTTTGTTTGATCATTTTCATTGTCATTAACAAATTTTGACAAGGAGGTAAATTCAACCTTGAACATTTTGGCTCACTGTGCCCAGCAAGAACATGTGGCCTCATCTGGCCTCATATTGATGGTGCCTTTCTGTCAGGGACTATAGGGCCAAGTTCTATATGAGCTCCTGGAGACCAAGGAAGCCTCATCACAACTTCCTAAGAGTGTGGCCACAGGGCTCCAAATACTAAACACAGGATTCCATCACAACAAAACATTGGGAACAAAGCCAAAGTATTTTTTTAACTGATAAAAATGCTCTTTCCCCTTTCTCAGTTCCATTGGCATAAAACACGAATGTTCCCATTTCTCTTCTACTCTTTCCAAATGGACTACCAGTTTCCTTTGTGGAAAACACTGCACTCATCTCTATGTATTCCCACAACTTACCATACTGCCTACAAAATAAAATCATAAAAATATTTGTTATAGAGATAGTTGGGGAAAATGGTTTCAAGAAAGGGACTGGGCTGGGGGGGGGGGGCTGGACAGATGTGTCCATGGCTAAGAGCACTTGCGCACTTGCTGCTCTAGCAGAAGACACATGTTCCTGTTCCCCACACTCTCACAGCAGCTATAACTCCAGTTTCTGATGGCTTCTTCTACATCTAAGGGTGCCAGGTGTATATATGGGACTCCTATATACATGCAGGTAAAACACTCAAACACATAGTTTTCTTTGAAAAGGAAAGAGGTTGGGAGATAACATAGGTATTACAGCAAATCTATAATAAATGAAAAGGTAGGTATATTTTGACAGGAATCATGAAAATGGGGACTTAAATACCAAATCTTGGTATGACCTAACTGTAATAGAAGACAAATAGAATGATGAAAACAGGCAGGCACCTTAAAGCACATCAAAAATAAGCAAAAATATTTCCCACCCACAAAGCATAAGAACCAAGAGAGGCTCTCTTGGAACCTTGCTTTCTTCTTTCTAATCCCATTAGAGGAAGTGATGATAAGCGGCAGGAAAGGATAAGAAAACAATTTGTGGAAAATAGAATCATTTCTCACATGGTCATCTTTAGTTGGAAATGATACAACTTGTGGGGGCGGGGGAGGTCATCTCAGTGATCGAGTGTAAACATAATCAAGGTAGTTAATCTCGCTTCCCCCTCTGAAGAGAAAAGACATGAAAACACTTAGTAATTCATTCATTGTATAATGATAGAGAAATATCTATTCCAAGCAAAAGCTGCAAGTTCTCATTTTGAACATTCCTTAGCATTTTAAAATTCTCAATTCAGCCTGCTGGATTATTGTGTAACTAACAATTTGATAAGTTTCTTCAACTATTTACTGAAGGAGGAAATATGTACTTTATGAGTGAAAATTATTAGAACAATATCCCATGATTTTCCAAAAACTAATTAGCTTTACTTTTTCTGCATATTATTAGTGATATTTTTTATTGTCCACACTGCAACTCTTCATAGGACAGGCTTGGCATTGGACAAGGTGCCATCATTGTTGGTTGAGAATTTCACTAGCCAAGAACTTCTTGATGTTTAGGCAGGCTATTGCCCAACTACTGCTGTGATAACTACTGAGATGACTATCTCTTTCCTGGTTGCACAGGCCTTTTATCCCAGCACTAGGGAGGCAGAGACAGGTGGATCTCTATGAGTTTAAGGCCAGCCATATCTACAGAGTGAGTTCCAGGACAGGCTCCAAAGCTACACAGAGAAACTCTGCCTTGAAAAAACAAAAGAAGAAAGGGAGAAAGAAAGAAAGAAAAAAAGAAAGAAAGAAAGAAAGAAAGAAAGAAAGAAAGAAAGCCATCTTCATAATTTCTAGAGCCAAGGGACTCTATTTGAGTTCTTGGAAACCAAGCCCCAGCACAACTTTCTTAATAGTAAGCCAGAAGCCACCCAACATTACCACCACAATGACCATATTAGCATCACAAGTCAAACAGAAATTATTCTTCATATCCTTTCATGGAATCCCATGTATCAGTTGTGCTGTGTTGGACTGTGCTTTCCATCCATTTGAGTGGAAGAATTATCTGGTAAATTCTGTTTGCAAGGTGCTAACAAATCCCATTTACTTAGTAAGTTAGTAGGTTAACTACTTACTTACTTACTTACTTACTTACTAATTTTAGCCAAGAAGAGAGGTCATTTTTCTTTGTTTTAATTACACACATGCTATTCTTCAGGAAAAGACCACAAAATACACAAAGATTCCTAACTAAAGAGTCAATCCTTCTCTGGTTCAGACGGGTATTAACAGTCACACAGAATATGTAAACGTGTCACTCATTGCAAAACACAGACCACAGTCCAGTCAGTAACAATATACA